CACACAAATGTTTTATGCCTAAAAGCTGCAGGGTGGTGTGATCGACGAACTAACTGCTTTTCTATAGGCTGTCAAGCAAACGGACAGACGACAAACAGACAGTAATGTTATTTTTTACTTACAGCAAGACATGAAAGCACGAGGAGAAGAATAGTCACAGGAAGGCAGACACATGCGTCAACTAGGAACATCGCATGAGCATGAGATGCCATCTCTGAGCGACTTCACGGTGGAGGTAATGCAGAGGTAAAGTCCACTCTTTTCTTCAGCAAACAACCTTCAGTGTGGAATAGCAGATCTTTGCTTGTTCAAAAGACAAAAAGAAAAAGCCGCTGAACTGAACAGTTTCTTAAATCGCTTTTCATAAAATGATGCTACCACATGCCAAGAGCTTTACCTTTTTCTGTTTGACTATTTCCTGCCAAAGTTTTTTATGTTTCACAGAAAACCACAGAACCTCCCACATGCATGTTAATATTCTTATTATTGGGGGCCCATTGGGAGAGAGTTTCCTTACAACTATTCTACTTTCGCTGAACATAATATGCTAATACATGTTTTTTCCTTATGTATTTTTTTCCTGTTTTTTAAGTCTGACAAAGAGAAATTGTGGTTTTCTTTAGTCTCCCCTCTGTGCAAATGCACACAGAGTGTGGTTAGTAAGAACTTCAGTGGAAGGAAGTCAGTGTAAACTGGAAATATTAGTCATTCATCTGGTGAGAAACAGCCCGTACACCCTTTGGCAGTTTATGGCCATTTTCTAATGTATGCATTATTCAGTGAGGTCATATCTCATCTTACAAAAAAACAAAAAACAAAACGCTACTGTGTTCAATATAAGATGTATTATTGTTTTTTTGTGTTTTTTGAAATATCACGGTGGGAATAATAGTTTTTATGTGTGTTTTGTTACTGGGTGCACTGCATTTACAGTAATACATGATAGATATCTACTACTTATTTAATATTGTGATATTCTGGCGTACAGTTATAGCTGACAGTAGAGCAGGGCGATATTTAGCACAATATACATTTGAAAATTTGCGATAACGATATAACTGACGATATAATTGTCACGAGACAAAATACTTTACAACTCCACAACTTTATTAGTGCAAAAACCCCATCAATGTATTTTCACTGAAACAAGCAGCTGTTTTATGTTTTTAAGTTATATAAAAAATGTAACAGTGCAAATGCAAATTCCTTACTGACAGTTTAACCAAAAGGCATTTCCAGTGGAAACTGGCCGACATAT